CCCCCTCCCTCCCTCCCTCCCTCCCTCCCTCCCTCTCTTTATTATGCTTTCTCCTTTGGTTATTGCACTGTATTTCTGATGAACACTTTATTTTGTAGGTTTGAATATGTTTATGGACTCCCTCTGTACAGTTTAAATATCAACCATGTCTTAGTATTTCATTGATGTCCCTAACTGTACAAAAGAATATTTTCTATGAGTTTTGACCAAAATTGGAATTACAGAAATAGCATCATCCTGGGATCTTCTTAAATGAGTGACGAAAAAAATAATAATAATGAGTTGTTGTACGTAGTATTTATTATAACTATAGTGATTGTATTTTGGTGATGCAGACATATTTTAGAGTTCCAGGTTTATATTATTTTTCACTTAATATACCTTTTTTTTTTGTGAGATGAATGTAAAAGAAGCTCTACCAAGTGTTTAGATCTGTACTGGTGGTTCAGTTTTGTCTGTATAATCCCGTCAGTCTATCCCCGTTTGAATCTGTTGTCTTATTCCCAGTGCATATCACTATCTTACGTAATAGTTATGGGATTATTGTTATTGGTTCATGGATAATCTCTAATTGTGAGATTTGTTCATTTTAGATGCAATTTTAGTTTAATTTGTTTTTTACTGTTCAAGTGACCTGCAAATATTTTTATTTCAAAAACAAGATTACCAGTCTCGGAGCAGTCATATGTGAGCCCTCATTGTTATCAAGATTTGACACATATCTAAAATCATCCGGTTTAGTTGAATGTAGAAGTCAGAGAAGAGTATAGAAAATTTAACAAAAATGCTCTCACATGAAGCAGCAGGACTAATATCTTTAATAAAAAAAATCTGCCCCATGACTAGATATTGATTATTGCGAACTACAAAGGTCTAATTTATAAGAGTACACATTCTGTGCTTTCAGAATATATATAGTTTGTTGGTGGTTCTAAATGCCAAGTGTTAAAATACTGTAAAATACTTTATTTTTGCTGGAATTAATTTTGGCTGAAAAGACATATTGGCTGTTTTGAATTATGTCTATTTTCACTGATTTTTGATAAGTTGAATGTAAAACGTAGAACAAAATGTATTTTCAATGGATTTAATTTTTGTCGATTCATCCTTTCAGCAGAAATAAGCGAAAATAAATTCCAGATGTAAATAAAGTATTTTGCAATACACAGGTTTACGCTAACAATTCTGGTTCTAATGTGTTAAAAAGATTAAATAAAACAAATGATGTGCAAATTGCTAGCTGGGAAGAAGGCTCAGTTTCACACTGTAGATTGATCTGGAGAGGCACTTAAAAGTACTGAATGTTTCAACCATTCATTCATTGCTACACGCAGTCTTGGTGGACATTCACCAGTTTTGTATTTCGGACATTTCAAATTTTGAGGAAAAATTTTATTAAAATGTGAAATTCTCCTGTCTCTGTTTAATGGCCAAAGCTAGTGATGCCATGACATCAACGTTTCTATCAAATAGCATAGGAGATGTTATTTTTTGGCAGGTTAAATGAATAATTAATAAATTTTGCAATGTGTGATATAATTTTTTGTCACATTTGCTCTGATTGTCAGGGTTTTTTAGCTTGTTCTATTTTGTATGACTTCATATTCAAAAATCCATATATAGCAATGATAGATTGAGAAAATTAAAAAAAAAACTCATTGTACAGAACGAAGAGAAAATGAACACAAGAGTTGTATAATTTAAATGTGCGATGTCTTGATGGTTTCCTAAACATGTATTGTGACCTTCCAACCGTTTGGAATTGTAACATTTTTCGACACTTGTGTCTTATGGGTATTCTTGGCGATTTAAAAAAAAAAGCCCACCCAACTTACCTGTTAATCTATTTGATGAATGATACATCATTAAAACCAACTTCATGTAAAATACTGAACTGGTCGTGTCTTGTTTCATCTGATGTTCAGAGAATGTGTGGTTTGATTGTAATAAATTTTAATGGAGACCTTGCACTGATTCCCTGTCATTATTGGTCTTGTAGTTAAATCCTAGATAATCTACTTGGGTACTATTAAGTTTATTCTTGTTATTGAAAATGTATAACAAATTCAAGGTCATTTGTTCCCCACTATTATATTTATGTTTTTGACTCCTGTGTACAAAGCACACAATTGGGAGTCTTTGCAGTTTGTGTTTGTGTGTGTGTGTGTGTGTGTGTCCGTCCGTCCGTCCGTTCCACTGATATCTCAAAAACCATACATCAGTTCTCGATGAAACTTGGTGCATTGATGCTCTGGACCAATGCACAGATTTGAAAAAGTTTTGGTAAAAATTCATGCATATTAATTACCTAATTTGCATGATAATTAGCCAATTTTCAGGTGTTTCTGACTGTTCCACTGATATCTGAAGAACCACTAATTGGATTTCAATGAAACTTGGTACATAGTTACTCTGAACTAATGCACAAATTTGATTAGTTTTGGGTAAAAATCTGTGCATATTAGTTACCTAATTTGCATAATGATTTGTAAATTTTTAGCTCCGCTGTCGACTTTGTCGAGCGGAGCTTATCATATGAGTGATTGTCCTCCGTCGTCGTCCGTCCGTCGTCAGTGTCAATGTTTTACTTTTTCGACTTCTTCTTGAAAACTACAAGTCTGAATGCTTTGATATTT